CTCCTCCTTCTGTCCTCTTGTCCTCCTGTTCTTGTCCGTCTGTCCTCTTCCTTCGGTCCTCTTGTCCTCGGTCCTCCTCCCTCTGTCCTCTGTGCTAAAAATGTATTGACATGCAGGCACAAAAAACTAATATTTATATGAATTGTCCTAAAACATGTCTTCCAACGTGTCCCCTCTTTGACTGAAGCCTGAGGAAGTGTTGTTTTATATGACGGACAATCTTCTCAAATCACATTTGATTTGATATTTATGTAACTGTCCCCAGAGTCCAAGATGAGTCATCAAATACATCTTTATGTATTACAGGAAGAGGAAAGAGACAGTTTTTGATATAAAAACACTGAAAGAGGTTTTTATTCCAACACAAATTTAGAATGAAAATTACTCAAGGATACAATATTATGTTCTTTTCATTTCAGGAATGACTCACCGGTGAAAAGCGAGAAAACAGCCTCGAGTTGTTGCTGAAACCTTTTAAGTAAGTGTCTAACACATCATCTCTGAACATTGCACAAATCAGCTGCATTTTTGCTTTAATGGTCTTCTGCTCTAGAAATGTCAAACTTTGCTATTTCTCTCCAAATGTTCAAATTATTATTATTTTATTAAGTCAGAGACCTTCGTGCCAATCGCCCCAAAACTTCAGGACCATCTGCAGAGTTTGATGATCTAACGTTATAAAAGAAATGTCGATACGTAATTGCGTTTTTAAGTTTCAATCTTGTGTGTTTTTAAGTTCAGTTTCACATAAATACTAATGATTAATAATTGATTGAAGTGGTTTTAACCAAACGTTATGTTCGGATGTCACGTTTCCTTCAGTCTACATTATTCAAAATATACAAAATCAACTCACAAATCCTTCATTCAAATACAACCAAACAGCTTCAAACGGTTATTGTTTCACTTCCTGTTTGGCGCCAAAACTAGTTAAATTCTACTTCTGTTTCTGAATCACATTTTCAACAGGATTTAGCCCGACTTAACCTTTGTGTCTTCACCTCGTTTGATCTGCAATCTCTCATCAACCTTTGTGTTTGTTCAGTTACACCTCCAGAGTACGTGGGCGAGACGACTCCTCTCTTCTTTCCCTCCTTTTATTTTTGAAAGTCTGTTATTTTGAGAGCCTTCCTAAACACTCAACAGCACTTTATATGTGCGGCACTGGATGCACCTATTCCACCTATTTCATCCCCCTGAGAGCCTTCGTGGAGGTCCTGTTTCTCTTTTCCCTCTTTTGTCTTTGACACAAACATTTTTTCCTCTTGGAGAGGTCAGCGGGAAGGATGAAGCCATTATCACTCACACACACACACACACACACATATCAGCAGCCTTATCTTTTAAAGCCATCGTTAAACTTCCTGTTAAATACACAACATCATCTCCACAGATCATCTTCAGCGCTTCCACAGGTTGTTCTGAACTTAACATTGAGTGTGCAATAAAGCACAAGATACGTTTATATCAGACATTCAACAACACACAATGTTTTTAACTGTTTCTAGCAGGTCAAACTTCTTAATTTGGACTCTTAAAAACACCCAAAACATCCTGAAGTACTAAAACAACATATAAATTAAAAAGAAAATGAAATCTGTCACTCCATCGACTGCTTTTTAAGTTTACAACCTGTTTTAACTTGTGTGTGTGAAAGTTAATTGGTTTATGTTTTTTTGGCTGCAGGGCAGTTCTGTGTGTTGCAACTCTGTGTTCAGCCTCATTCCCTCTGCAGTCTATCTCAGGTCACACTGCTGCACGTCTTCACATCGACTGTGTTACAGTCCACGCACACATCTTCCCTCTTCACCTTCATCAGACACAATCCCAAAAAACTGAAGATGGGAAAAATTAACGGATGCCTAAAATGCCTCTTTATCTTCTTCAATGTGATTTCTGCAGTAAGTAAAACAACAACTTTATGATCATTTCTGTGTTGATTTTTGTTTTAAAAAGCTTCAGAATTAATTCAATCCATTTTTCTTTTTATGCGAGTTAATTTTAGAAAACAAAATGTGTGAAGTTGGTTAATTCTTTGATTTTCAGCTTTTACTAAACAAACAATAGGGTGGAAAGTTAAAACAGAGATACAGATTTGCCAGAGAAAATCAACTTTTGGGGTTTATTATTAAAGTTTCTAAATTGGAAGTGACTCTTTACCGGTAAAGAGTCACTTCCAGTAACTGAGAGAGAAGGAATGTTAGAGACAAAATACAAAAACAGCATGAATAACATACCCTTTTGACCGAAACCCTTTCTTTAAAATGTGTTTTTCCTTTTTCGAGCCCTTCAAAATTACATAAATTAGATTAGATTATTATTTTTGTAATTAGACTTTACTTGACAATATTGCATACAATGTTAAATAGTAAAACAATGGATGCTTACACTCGTCCCTAAAGTTAAATACGTGTCCAGATTGAGACGTTTAACAGTGTTTGCAGGAGCCTGGACTTGATCAGAGGAAGAGTTCAGTCTTTAGAGTATCCGTCTCCCTCTAGTGGCTCAAAGCAGGAACAACACAAACTCCAGCAGTAAATATGAAATAAAAAAAAACAGCTTGTATAAATTATGGAGATAGTAAACAGACTTCTGAAGTTGTGAAAACACACATTATTGGTTTTAAGACTTTAAACTCCTCTGAGAGTTGAAACTATGTTCCACCCTCTTAAAACTTTTAAATACACAGTGAAATGAAAAACACAACGTAAACAATATTTTTTATGACTCATCTTAAAATCTGGGCATTACAATTTACAATTTAAAGTCTTGATTTTCTCCTTAAATATCCTGTAAAGTGGTTCTCAAACGCTTGATTGTTTCAGCTGTTATTTGAAGTTAAATAATGTTTACACTGAGTGAAATAGTCAAACCCAGTATTTGTTTCTTAATCATCAAATGGAAATGTTTTAAAAGTCTTTATACAAATTTCCCCCAAATTAAATGTGATTCATGTGTTAAATTAATATGTTACTGTATTAATAACTTAAATGTTTTAAAAATGTTCTCAGGTTGTTGTTGTTTTACTTACGGGTATAACTTTTCTTCTACATTGTTAACTTTCTATTTCATGCACTATTTAATTTTTTCTTCTTTTAAGAATCAATATTTTGGTGGCAAACTTCAGCCTCCATACTCTGGGCTTTTTAAATTTTGTTAAAGCACAAACTAACTAATGTGATGTGCCTTCAGCTCATCGGATGTGGGCTGATCTACCTGGTGGTGAAGTTCCAGCCCGACAGCAGCCAGGTAAACAACAACATCACAAGTAGTGAATCCAATTCCCCTTTTCACATTTTGGCATCGAAATGCAGAAAACATAAAACATAAAAAGTGTTAACATGTTTCATAAACCTATAGGCTATATGCATTTGATTGAATAAACACAATCTCAATGAAATAAGGATCAAATACAACTATCACTGTGGTGAAAGAGTACTTGTAATCTTTCAGAGTGTGTACTACGGGGATGTTATTCAGGCCAAATCATAGTTAGCATATGCGCTAACGTAAAGTAAAAAAACAGCAGATCACACAAGTTTTAAACACCAAGATGAGCCAAATATATTATGATAATTGGTAAAATTATGACCCAAACTGTCTGTTACAAACATCCATCACAGTTTGCAGACTGACAGACTTGTTGCACACAGTTTTAGCCAGTTAGCTTAGCATAAAAACAGGAAGCAGGGGCATACAGCTAGGGTAACAATATCTGCATACCAGCACATCTAAAGCTCAGATCGACACTTATATCATATCTCATTTGTTTAATTCGTACTGAGGTTAAACGCGACTATTTCTTGGCACCAACTTTTTCTCGGAAGGCTACAACAACACCGCACTTCTGTCACTTGTAAGGAAAACATAAACACAAGTCAGACTAAAACATGACTGAAGCTAAACCAGAAGAAGTTAAATTCCCCCTCGTTCGTCGTCTCCGTTGGATCTGTGGACAGCTGGTTGCTGCCAAACATTTACTACTTACGGGATGTCTCTTGGCAGAATGAGCAGCAGATTTTACTGTAATTTGACTCACAGAGTGAAACAACTAAATCAGAGTCAGATGTGAACAACAGTTTTAACAATCACGTTTAGGGGGGGGGTTACAGGGTTTGTTTGTGTTGATTACTTTCAAGAAATTACATAAAAACAGGGTTCTGAGAACTTTGTAAAACAGCATAAATACTATGAACGTAAGGTTTTTGGATTATAACAAAAGCAGATGGTTTGTGAAAATAAAGACTGATTTTGTTACACAGGACATCACATCCTGTATCTGAAAATACAAAGCGCCTGTTTAGAAATGTTTGAACCAAATGGAGGTGAAGGATTCAGAGTGTATATAAGGACACGGGCAGCTGCCAAGACGTAGTGGAGACTTACCGGTACATTTATTTTCTTAATGCAAAGCAGATGTGGCCTGGAGAACATTTTCCACTCTCAATGTAAACCTCCAGCATTATTTACTAGTTTAAGATTATAAATCAAGGAAACTTTGAATCATTAGATCAAAAACACCCAAACACTGTTTTATAGGCGACAAACTTCATCTCACTTCACTTAGAATAGAATAACAATACTTGCCTTTTTTTTTCAGTTGACCAATAAGTGCTGGAAGATGTATTTACTTCAATGAGGCTCAATGTGCTGCCTAAAGTAATGGATGAAACTAGCTAAACGTAATTGTTAAAAGTTTGTGTTTTTACAAAATTAATGAAAATAATGTGTGCATTACCGTCTTTGCTATAATTCACTATTATGTAAAGCACTTTGTTTTGCATGTATGGTTTTTGTTACATCGTGATTGGAGAATTTACAGATTTGAAAGACATTGTTTTTTGTTGTTGTTGACCATAAGTATAATGTAGAATAATGCCAGCCGTATTATGAAATCCACTGTTAGATGAAATTTTTGGATTAATCCAGTGTTTGTGTTGTTTCATTGTCCTGTCATGGCGGAGCAGCTGTCCGAGGTTGGGGCCCCGAGCATGGCTTGGGGTTGGGTGTTTGCCATCGGCGTCTTCGGCATCTCCTGCTTGGGAATCTTTGCAGCATGCTCCGAGAACCTAATCGCCCTCAGAATAGTACGTACAAGATGCCGAACTCATAAAAAAAATTTTTTATAGATAATTTCAAGATTATCAAGCCACAATCAGCAAAGGAAGATATATCTTTGAATGTTGTTTCATTTACAGTTTGCAGCCTTCATGGGGTTTGGATTGATCTTCATGCTGATCTGTGGCATTGCTGTGGTGGTCTACAAAAACAAGGTCATCTATTTATCTTCTCTGTTTTAGTATGCTAAAGTTCTTTATTTACCTTGAGGCTAATGTTTTCTCTATCTTCCTTGATGATATAATGTTCTCACTATCTATATTGATGATATAATGTTCTCTCTATCTACGTTGATGATATAATGTTCTCTCTATCTATATTGATGATATAATGTTCTCTCTATCTACGTTGATGATATAATGTTCTCTCTATCTACATTGATGATATAATGTTCTCTCTATCTACGTTGATGATATAATGTTCTCTCAATCTACGTTGATGATATAATGTTCTCTCTATCCACTTTAATGATATAATGTTCTCTCTAGCTACGTTGATGATATAATGTTCTCTCTATCTACGTTGATGATATAATGTTCTCTCTATCCACTTTAATGATATAATGTTCTCTCTATCTACGTTGATGATATAATGTTCTCTCTATCTACGTTGATGATATAATGTTCTCTCTATGATATAATGTTCTCTATATCTACCTTTATGCTGAAATTCTCTATTAATACCTTGATGTTAATGCTTTCTCTATCTATCTTTGGCTAATGTTCTCTAACGTTCTCTCTCTACCTTGATGCTAACATAACTGTGATGCTAACATTATGTCTATATATACCTTGATGCTAATGTTCTCTTTTGATGCTTACATTGTCATTACTTATACCTTGTTGCTAACATTCTCTCTATCTATGCTTTGATGTCCGCGCTTTCGCTGTCTATCTTGGTGCTTATATTGCTCTAATGTTCTCTTTATCTACCCTGATGTTAACATTCTCTTTTTCTTTCTATCTTTCTTAATGCTAATGTTCTTTCTATCTAACTTGATGTTAATGTTCTCTTTATCTACATTGATGCTTACATTCTGTCTATCTTGACGCCAATGTTCTCCGTATCTAGATGCTAGTTCTTCTTTACTCTTAAGTATTTCAATGCTAACATATTGTGTTGTGTCTGTCTACCATGATGCTTAGTTCTCTCTGTGTCCTGATGCTAATATTGTTCCTTCTGTTCTTGTAGGTCAAAGAACTGTATGACAACGCCTCTGCTGAGATGGCAAAGACGTACATAGAAGACGACAAATCAAGAGGGATACTTGAGAAACTACAGAAAAATGTAATGTTGTCTGTTTAACTATTAAAACCTTACGCGTGTAGTCTAACTACGGCTCTTCGAGGACGAATGATTTACAGTCGACATTATCTATAAGGTTTTGATTTGGTGTTATTTTTTCTTCAATTATCTTCACTCTAAACTTCCTTTTCCCGTTGAAGACCATTTCTGCTTGTTGAAACTCACTCTCTCACGTGATTGCAGCTTCATTGCTGTGGAGTGGTGAGCTCTGAGGACTGGAATATGACCATCCCCGACAGCTGTGATTGCTACCCTGCACTTGGAGGTGGATTTAATCAATCTGGAGGTGGAGTTAATCCATCTGGAGCATCAGGATATGAATGTATATCCAGACCTAAGGTTGGTTTTGTAAAATTAAACTGGAAGATCGGGTATATAAATATAGGTATTCAGTGAGCCTCATCTCATGAGAAAGCTTGAGTTCATGTGCAAAAGTAAATTATAGTTGAGGACCTTGTGTACTCAGACGATACTCTACCCTAAATTCCCTTAAAACCCTGTGGTTACTTTCTTAATAGAATATGAACAGTATTTGAAAGATGATAAATGTTTAGAAGTTACAGGAAATACTGGAAGAACTAACAGTAAGCTTCAAACAAACTAGTCTGTTGTCCATTCAAGTGTAAAAGTATTTATACTTTTGTCAAACACATACTTTTGTCTTTTTTTATTGCTATGATCATATCTTGCTATTGTTTTCTTTCAGGGATTTCATTCAGGCCCAGACAAAATCTTTAAACAGGTATTCAATCAACCAATCAAGGCACCATCCAATTCACCAGTCAGCGATGTTTCCACATAATAACCTTTCTCAATCTCTTCTGTTGCAGTCGTGCAGTGAAGCAATCTTTGGGTGGGTCAACCTCGCCTTCCAGATCATGATGGGCTTCTTCTTTGGATTGGCGGTCACAGCTGTAAGCTCTTTTGAGTTTTATCAAGTTCTGTGACTGCATCAGTCTTTGAAGGATCCAGAAACCGTGGTTCAGTGTTTTGTCCTTAACTTTTTTCAACATTTGCTTCAGCGCGTCTCATTGGTGAGACAAAGCTATGGATTAGGTCAAGGAATCGCGTAAAAGAAAGTCTCAAGTCAAGTGCAAGTTCTAAACTTTGCATTTTGAGGTCTTTACCTTTATTTGTTACCACCCTAAAGGACAAAAGAGCCAACGTTGTACGATGCAGATTGTTTCTTGATTTTAAGAGATAACAAAACCGCTGTCAGATCTAGAATACCAAGTTTACATTACTTTGCTGACTGTGCCCAAGGCTTCTTGATTTCATGTTCGCAGAGTACTTAAGACTTTTTAGTTAATGTTAGTGTTAGCCACAGCTGCCCATACAACTTAATTGCTAACCTCAAAAGGGTTGAGTTCAGCTTTTGGATCGATTTTGTTATCTTGTGCAAAGCTTTGGCCTCAGGTTGGGTTTGGTTACCGGTACTTTCAAAAGTAATTAAATAAGAAATGTTTCTTGTGCAGCCAATGCTTCATGTTAGCTTGGTGAGCTAATACTGAGGAAACTTATTGTAAGAAACATTCAGTAAAAACATTCAAATCTTAATTTAAAGTAGGAAAAAACACTTCTATAACCAGCTCCCATTTTGAATTTGTATTTTAGTTTGAAGACTATTAGACCGAGCTATTAAACCAATAATATGCTGACAATAAACCAAACAAAAAATATAAAAAAGATCTGTATAATAGCTGTTGGCCTCCAGTCAGAATTTAAATTCTTAACAGTTGTTGTATGCCGTGGATTGGACGGATTGCTTGCGTAAAGTCTCTTACTTCTGAATTACCTGCACTGGTCACCTGTCTGTCTTTCTAACTGAGTACCCGTCTTTACAGCTGCTGGGCCTGCTGGTCTCCATTATGATGATCCATCAGGTCAAACGTTACGACAGCGGCAGAGGAGCGTCCATGCCCATGAAGGCCTACTAAAAGAAACCCTTTAACCTCTGCACTGAAACAGGAGGACTCAGTGGTTAATACACGACCGCTTCTTCTTTACTTTTTTAAATGTAATTTCTGGTCATTTCTCTCAGAGTGGCAGGATACGTGTGAGACGGAGAGACCACGGGGCATTCTGCAGGAAGATTACATTTCAGAAGTTTTCTTTACCTCCAGCTTTCTATAGTAGAGAATATTGCTTAAATAGCAAACATTTATTTTTTTGTATCTCTTTTGTGTTATTCATGGTTTGCAGTATTATACTAGTCTTATGTAACAGACTTTAAAAAGCAACAGTTTTATAGTTTGAAAAGTCCTCTTGTTCTCCATCTTAAGCCATCAACTTCATTGATTTTGATGGTTTAAAGCTTGGTGTTGCCAGATCTCTAGTTAGAGTTAATCCTAAATTGATTATATCAGATTTTTGTTGTCCAGAGATTAGTTCAGCATTTGTTTAGCCTAGTTTAGCACAAAGACTCAGAGTAGGGGGGAACTGCTAGCCTAGTTTTAAAACTCTTGTTGCAGAAATCGCCAGTGTTACTATTCCTTAAATCCAACCAGAATCTGCACTCACAAGAATGTTTTATTTCTGAAGGGATTTCCAAAGAATAGTCACCAACAAACCTCTGGTTAAAAAGATCAGTTCAGAGGTACACTTAAACTGTCAGCTGTAGTTATTGTAAAAAAAAAGTACAATGAACTTGTGTATTTTTTCATGCATATGTGTATATCTATGTAAAGCGCTTCAGTCATGTAAAAGGGAAACACTCCACTGATCTGTTTTATTGTGAAATCTGTACTCATATCATTTCAGAATAAATTTAAGAGACTGTGAACATACACCACTGTGATCTAATGTGATCAGTACTTCCTCCCCTTTGGCTTATTTGCCCCATAACATAACAGGCTCACGGAGGCCAATGGAGAGGTTGAAAGGAAAGAGGGAGGATATTGCATTGACGATAATTCACTTCCGTATAGCAAAACCATTTAACTTTGGGCATCTGAATAAAACACACTTAGCAAAGCAATACATTTGACGTTCTACCAGAGAAAATGCCCCTTCATTGACCAAGTTAACTGCTTGCTAGCTAGCTAGCTAGCTAGCATGTTAAACCTAAATTTGTATTAGCTAGTTAGCTATTAGCCACCAGCTTCAACGACATATAAATCACTTCATACCACACTTGATGTTAACACATCATTTCATATGAAGATAAACAGCCTGGTTAAGAAAATGTATTTGTTCTTACCTTCTGAAATAGTATATTCCGGACACCGAGTTTTCTCCGCCGTCACCGTGAGTTCAAGAAGAAAGAGAGCTTTACGTTAATAGTACTGCAGATTAGTGAAACAATCTTTCTCTTGGTGATACAAGCATCAAATTTGGCACAAATTATCTTCAAGACCTATATCTTCAAAAAAGCCCGGTATCCACGATGGGGAAAAAAAGCCATAATGTGCGATTTTTGACCTAGATTGTGATTGGATAATCCGAAATATGGGTTTTTGAGTATGAGAAATCCAATTCTGCACTTAGAAAGTCCAAATTATCAAGAATTGTTGAGGTATAAGCCAATTAATTACAAAAATAGTGTCGATTGGTGCTGAATTTGACCCGATATCTGATTGTGCCATAAAACAATAAAAATAAATGCTAAATCATTTCATAATACTTGACTGAGATATATATGATAGATACATGGTCTTGGGAATGCATACTGCAATGGTGATGTCACAGAACTTATAAGAAACACTAAACACAAATGATGGCGGCCTCAACTCAATCAGTGCTTGGCGCTAGGATTGATCGGTATAGAAATCCAAATAAAATCAATGTGTGTAAGCGGATGTACAGCTGAATATCAGGATTACGAATTGTTCTCATTGCATTTGCAGGCACACAGCTGTGTGCACTTGAGGCCAAAGCGATAGCATTTGCATCTTCCATGACATTCAGTCTTGCACCCACATTTTGTATAAGTATCTTCAGTTTACTTCTGGTTCATTTTCTTTTACGTAAATTAAAACTCTCTCTTTTCGTCCGCTCCTGTCCTTCTCTTTCCAAACATTTTCTCCTTTGCCCCCACACCAACCTTTCCAGGGTAATCAGCCAGCTCTCCTTCAGCTGGGCACTGCTGCCCTGCTGACTATGGGAATTGTAGTCAGTTACCCAGATGTTACCTAGATGCCATGATGGGTTGTAGTCTCTGCTGCAACCACTGGGAGGGGATGTATCTCCCATTGATGACACTCCCTCTCATGACATCACACTATCTATAGTGGTTAAAAGTAACGGTTTCACAGATTATTAATAATAACCTGTTACAGTTATGAATGTATAATGGCAGCAGGAACAATAAACAATGTAATAAAGTGACTGTGATCAACTAACTCAAAAAAGTGGATTTCTCTTAGTAAAATTAAATTTTACAAGATAGTAAGTCTAAATATTAGATATGGCAAATCAAATGGCTTAATGGATTTTAAGAAAGAAGCCATCACAATCCTGTATTAGTACATTTCCTAATTTTGATTCACTATGTCACAATTCTGACTATAAAACTCATTTCTGACACTACATTTAACATTAACGAAATAAAACTCTGAACTCATGTTAAATTCGGTTAACTGTCTGCTAAATAAGCTACGTCGACCGTTGCTGTCTAACTAAGCTAACGGTACATCTTTTTCCAACTGAAGTAACGTTAGGTGACTACTTTATTCAGTACTTTATTCTTCTTAAAGCAATCCCAGCCAGGACGGACTCTCGTCTTTACCTCTTCCGTCAAGTTATTCTCCATTTTCACTTCGCTAAAAAAGTCAACAAAGTGACATAGGCTAGCTATTATTGACAGCGTTGTCTTGGCGTGGTCTCATTTAACGTTATGATTCAAAACCGATATGATGAGAAGCACGTGACCTAGGAAGTTTAACGGTTAAAACAGCTCGGTGGTACAGAGAGCAGAAGTTTCACCCTCTTTGGTCATGTCATTGCGACTGGTGTCCACAGTGGCTGGTGTTCATCGAGTTGTAACACGCTTCGGGTTACTACCGTGGGGTTCGTGAGCGCAATGACTCCAGCACACTCGGATACAGTTTCTTAATTTCTTTATTCACCACAGTTCAGACTTTCTCCTGCAGTGCCTCTGACTGCTCTGTGGTTTGTCTGTCGTCTTGGCAGCACCTCTCCCAGCCTTGCCTCCGAGCACACGCCGTGTGAGGTCTGCCGTGCTTGCCCATGGTTTTAAAATAAGTAACTCCCCCATCACATATAAGTGTAGTGCTCATGTGTCCGGATACATTTGGCAACATAGCCTCCTCAGAGTAAACCAGCAGCCTTTAGATGGCAGTGCACACCAGAGAACAGGCAGCGTGACTCACATGAAGGAACAGTTTATCTTTATGATGCAGGCACACAGACGTTCGTCTCCACAGATCACACTGGTGTGAATGAACTGGGGAAGAAGATGAACCAGTAAAGGACTATTGATTAAAGTCAGTGTTTTGTTGATGTTGAGGGAGGATGTGGAGGCAGCAGCACAGGATTCACGTTTCTTATCTCCTCTCGGGCCCACCGCTGTGTCAACACGCAGGTTAATCAAACACAACCAAAGCAGTGAGATATGGTTTCACTTACTGACAATCTGCTCGTTTTAAAAGCTGAGAGGGAGAGCACGAAGCTGCGCAGGTGACGACGTTAAATTCTCTGACCTTTTTCTCTGACAGATGAGTTCGAGCTCGAGTATTTTATAGCTTCCCCATTTTCCAAACACAAGTCACCTCCTTCTCTATCTTGAATATTTTCGTAGGAGTTAAAAGCATCTTTTTAAAATGCAGCTCTACTGTGAAGTGGTGTCATGTCGTGCAGCTCTGTCCCATAAAAATTAGGTTCCCATACAACAAAACTGCTTCGTGAATTTTAAGGGAAACGTATTTTGTCCCCTTTGGTGGTGGAAGGGTAAACAAAAGAATGAGGGAGCTGTAAGTTATACTTATAATGAACGATTTAATAGGAGAAACATATCCAGGGGAATTAAGACAAAGATGAGGGCTGTGATATGTGTAAATAATAAAATAATAATTTAACGATAGCAAGTTTTGTCTTTTAGCATTTCGGGCGTTATCTATAGAGCAGTCCAGAATGATGTTGAGTTTTAAGTCAAAAACCTTCACATTTTCTTGGGGGAGGACCCTCAAACGCAACATCTCACCAAAGCTTTTATTCACTGTAGAAATGAAGAATGTGTTTCTTTATCCTGCTGCATAATAATTACGAATAATTAGCTCGCAGCCTGTCTGCCAAGCTGGTGTTGATTCATGCCTGTAGGCGTCCTATAATATATTATATAGCAATACTATTGGCAATAAATTACACAGGAAAGCACTTTAAGTATTAACACTATGGGTGAATATACAAACACATTACCTTATTAACCCAATAATGTTTCAGTTGGAATATTATTGGAGTATTACAGGCCTACTATAGAAGATGCAAGTGTTTACCACTGTTTAAAAAAAACGACAATCTGGGAGAAATACGTTTCCCTTGAAACGTAATCGAGATTGCACTTTAGTTGTATAGGAAGGTCATTAATAGTTGTGCCAAGATCACCAGTGAAACGGTTCTTTCATGAAGTTTCATCCTCTAGGTTTCATCCTCATGCTTATGGGAATTTATTTTCGTGTCTAATTAAACCAGAGGGAACAACACTCATGGCGCCTCATGTTTAAGGGTGTGTTGTGTTTGTTGCTTTAAGTTGTGTTTTCTCCTGGAGGCTACATGTGCATACATGAGTTGTTGTTTTTTTATCACATGTGAGAAGCCTCAGGCAGTTTCACTTACGGGCCTTTTGCCAGAGATGACTGTCCAGAAAGTACGCAGCTAAAAACACTCACAGAGAGAAACATTACTCTGCTGTTAATGGTTTAGGAAAGGACCAATTAATGCCCAGTTGGTTTATCATCCTTAATTTAAACACAATGTGGAAGACTATAGAGTGTCTTCTGCTGAAAATTATGAATCCAAACTCGTGGTGTGCAAAAGGATGAGTTTAGGGTTGTTTACTGCTTTTCAATTTGCTTCCTTGAATGAACAAACTCGTTAGCATATACGAGTGATTCACAGTCTGAAAATGTTGCTGCATCCACCAATCTCTCGTGCGACTGGTCCAGTCATATCGTATGATTCCTGTAGAGAGAGTCCTCCTCTTTCCACAATTTGACTGAAGATTTTTAACACCTTCATCCGGCTTAAAGTGATAGCTGTGATGTTACGAAGTGAGGTTGAATGAGGTTCTTCTCCACAGTCAGTGTTTTACTACAGTAGATGGAGTTTGGAGAAACAGACAAGATGTGGACATATTTTAAACACCTAAAACAATCTATATTAGTTTAAGTGTATGCTATATTTAGAATATTTTCACCTCTTTACCTTGCTGTCAGACAGACCTTTCTGACGGGGAACTGACGCCGTTATCTATTCTCGGTTCAAATTGACCAGACTCCGTTTACAAAAACAGTCATTTTACCTCTCAGAACACGGGTGGCTCATCGTTTGTTTTAGTTATTGTGGGACTTTGATGTTTAAAGGGTTCGTTCAGATTCACCAAAGTCCCACAAACAGACTTACTGATGAAGGCAGCGGTAGACCAGCAACTCCTGTGTTCTGAGAGGTAAAATGAATGTTTTTGTCAATGAAGTCTGGTGTAAAAGGCTGACTGAAGGTGAAGTCATGAAAAATATTCTTAATATAAGTTGGAGTTTAAATATAAGAAATATAAAGTTCATGCAAAAATCAATATTCTATTCACCATATAATCATCATCATGGTGTGGTGGAAATTGTATTAATTTCCCTGTGAGAAATACTCAAATGTCTTTAAGTATTTTATTGAAAAGGCACTTAGGATAATACAGCTGAATGATCGGAGCTCTTTCACCACAGATGGTTCGGAGGTCTTACAACGAGTCAAGATTTTAGCAGAGTGTATATGATTCTCACAACCTGAACTGCCTCTTCCAGCTACACGGTATCTCGTTGAATTATTTTCAGCAGAGAAACGAGAGAGTCTGAGGTTAATTCATTTTGCACAACTCTGACCTCTGCTGTGATGCTTATATTAAGCCCCTTGTCCTGATTTCTTCTTTTTAAAACATTCTAAAAAATATGTTTATC